GAGACTTACATGAGCAAAAGGGGATTGGTTGGCTTACATGATCTAGGGTAGTCAAGGGTAGAGATAATTCCAGGCATTCAAACAACATCATTTTAATTATTTCTCTTTCCATCTCTTTACTTCCTTTAGCGTTGGCTTCATTCTCAAGCAGGCCTGTTGTATTTGGCTGCAGAGACAGCCCCTGGCTTACATTGTCCCTGGTGCTTACAACCTCAGAAGAGGCCTTTTCATAACCAATGTCTGTACCAATCCCTGAAAGAGAGCTGGCTTGACTTTATTTGTGAAATGTGTCCAACTCTGAAGCAACCAGCATACTTAAGAGAATAGGTACATTGATTGACCCGGGCCAAGTACACTCTTCTGAGGTAGGGGAAGCAGATTTGTGTGATGATGCATAATTTCCCCAATGGTACAGTGGAAGAGTCCGTAAAGAAAAGATGTAGGGCACTTAAAAAACTAATGGAATTTGTAGGATCTTCTGTTTGACTTCCATGTTCTGAAATTTCTCAGTGAGATGACTTAGCATTTTCTAGACATGACAATGCCAATATGTCTTTCATTCTACATACTCTTACAATGTGACCTTGACATTCTTCAGGAGTGGTAGAGTCCACATTCCCTCCCCTTGAGCATAGGTGCAATTTTTGAACTACCTCAGTCAATAGAATGTGGGAGAAGCATCACTGAGCATCTTCCAAGAGTAGGTAATGAAAGGAAATTTGATTTCTGCCTGAATCTATCTCTCTCTCTCTCTCTCACACACACACACACACACACACACACACACTCAGAACACTTATTTTGGAATCCAGTTACTACATTGTGAGAAAGCCCAATCCACATATGTGGCTTGACATAATTGACAACCCCAATTAGACACCTTCAGTCAAGAGGCACCACTAACCACTAGACATATTGTTACAGGGCAGGGAGAGGGGCACCCCAGACCCCCCAAACCTGCCTGTTCTAAATAAGTTCTGCCATCCGCTGCATCAACACAAAACATATGAAACTTTAATGAAAAGTAACTTTAATACAATTAGTGAACAATACAGGAAAGGCAAAGAATATAGTTTCTAAATCAAGCACCCAAAGTTACCCATCCCCTCGTGGGTAAAAGTCCACCCAAGCAGGATTGGCCCAGAGCAAGGCCCCAAAGCCTGCCACAGGTCTAAAGCATCTTCCAGTGGGGACCCACAGAAAAGGATCAGAAACAACCAGACAAGTCTGGGAGGAAAAGAGGAAAACCAAAATCAAGACAGAAACTGCCACTGTCACCTCCCCACGGGTCTCTCACCCACATCTGAGTCACCCAGTCCATGACCAAAAGGCAAGCACAGTTTCTTCACATGTCTCTCTACTCCATGTGCCCCCTCCAGGCCTCCTTCTGGCTCCATCCTGCTTCCTTCCTTCCTTAGTCTCCTCTGAAGCTTCTTTTCTCCCTGCTCAGCTCCACCCTCCTTTTGGGTGGGGCAGGAAACCTGGAACCTGCCCCTTTCCTGGGGACCACCCTGTTACAATATGAATGAGCCTTCAGATGATTTCAGTCAAAGTTTGGAGCCTTCCAGCTGAGGCCCAGACATTGTGAGTATAGACAAATAGTCCCCATTATGCCTTGTGTGAATTCCTGTCACAGAAACCTTGAGATAATAAATGGTTATTATTGCTTCGAGCCACTAAATTTGGGGGAAATTTGTTATGCAGCATTAGCAAACTGATACACTTTCCCTGTTTTCTCTCCATTCTCTCTATTGCGCTTCCATTATCTGTGGACTGTTCTCTTGAATAAGTTCTCTAATTTTCTTATCTTTATTTTGTTTCTTCATCTTTTTGCTTCACTTTCTGGGAGATTATTCTCAATTTTATGTTGTAATTCTTCTATTGAATTGAAAGAAAGCTTATTTTTTTTTTGCCATAATGTAATTTTTAGGAGCTCCTTTTTAGTTTTCTAAATGCCCCTTATTTGTAGTATCCTGTTTCATATATGTACTATCTTGTCATATTTCTCTAAGGGTATATATATACCTATATATATACATATATATATATATATATTACAGCTTACTGAGATATAATCCATGATTATGAATTCATGTAATTCACACAACCAAAAAACTCACTCTTTAAAAATATAAAATTCAGTGATTTTTAATATATTCACAGAATTGTGTGGCCACCATCATTTTTTAATTCCAGAACATTCTCATCACTCCCTCAAAGAACCCCATACCCATTGGCAGTTTGTCCCTGTTCCCTTCTTCTCCCAGGCCATGTCAGCCATTAATCTACTTTCTGTCTCTATGAATTTTCACATTATGGGGATTTCATGTAAATGGAATCCCACACTATGTGGACTTTTGTGTCTGGCTCCTATCACCTAGCATTCTATTTTCAAAGTTCATTCATTTTGTAGTATGTACCCATGATTTAGAAGTGTGTTATATGTCTTGTTTGTTTGCTTTGATCTCTGTCTTGTCAGAAGTGTTCCACAGATGTCTGATAATCCTTGGGTATCTATTCACATTTAAGAATGGGGAACCAATGGTCAATTAGAAGCTGTGAGGGTGTGGATAGACCTTATCAACTGAGAGTTTCACTACAGGGTGTTATGGCTGGGCATTTTGGTGGGTGTAGGGTAAGGAAAAATATCAGGCTTTTCTGTCCTCCTGCCATCAGGATAGATGATGGATCCCTGCGGTCCTGAATGCATGCCTGATGGCGGGCAGCGGGAATAGGGTGTGGGCATAGGTAGATGGGATTCACCTGGGCTGAGACTGTGCTTTTAAGGGCAGCGTCACGGGAACGCCAGTAGAAGCCGAAAAAGCAGCCAAGTACGAACAGAAGCCGAGAGAGAAGAGAAGCAGAAACCGAGAGAAGGCCGGAGAGCCCAGAGTGAAGACCTGCTGGGGGCTGGGAGGCCTCCCAGCCCCCCAGTACCCCTGTCTGCCGTGTACCTGGTAATCCAAATAAAACCTGCAATACCACTGAGGACTCTGACTCCTCATTTACCCGGTCTGCTGGATCATAGAAAACCTGCACTGTGGTATTCCTGCCCCTACAGTGGGAATTCTGGTATAGTACTATATTAGTCAGCTGTAACAAAGTACCACAGACAGGGTGGCTTAAAAACAGGAATTCACTGTCCCCCAATTCTGATGGATAGAGTTTCTAAACAACTTATCAGCAAAGTTGTCGTCTCTTCTGAGGCTTCTCTCCTTAGCTTGTGCATAGACATTCCCCCCCCCACCACATCTTCACATCTGCGCGCTAATCTTATCTTCTTATAAGGACATCAATCAAATTGGATCAGGGCACACCCTAATGACCTCATTTTACCTTACTTACCTCTTTAAAACCCTCTCTCCAATTACAGTCACAATCTGACATAAGACTTGAACATGGGAATGGGAGGAGCCACAGATCAACCCACAACATCAGCTTTCTTTCAAACCTCTGCCTGGAAGATATAAATCTGGCTACCATGGTTCTGAGAAATGAGTGAGGAAGAGAGCTGGACATCTTAGTCTTAACTGAATCTGTTTGCTTTCAGTGTAGTATCCCCAGGTCAGAGATCTTCTGTTTTACCTTCTCCAGAAGGAAACCCAGCTCTGACTTTGGCTAGGGAAGGGATATGGAGTTTTAACTGCTTCAAAGGGAACTTTCAAGTGATGGGTTCTTTCATCCTTCCAGGTGTATCTGATTCCACTAATAAGGTTATCATCAGGACTGTGTTGGAGGGAAGTTCCATATTGTAAACCAGATTATTTCTCAGTTTTCCCTAATATCAGTTCAGAATTTGGCTTTCTTGATTCTACATTGTGTTGCTGTTTTCTCTTCTTCCATTATTTTTTCTTGTCAGTTTGTACCTTTTAAAAATCATTTTATTGTTGTTTTGTGGAGTTTTAAAAGGAAGTAAAAGCAAATGTGGGTGCTTAATCCATCATCTTTACTCAGAAATCCCACACATTTATATTTTTAAATGAGCTCATGCTATACAGACTGTTCTATAATCTGCTTTTATCATCAAACAAATTCTAGTGAATATTTATGTTGTTTCTATGTCAATAAATAGAAATCGACATCAGTGGTTCTTAAGCTTGGCTGCACAATGGAATCACTGGGTGGTGGGGGTGGGGGACTTTAGAAAGTACTCATGTCTGAGTCCTGTCCCCAGAAGTCTGAACTGAATGGATATGAAGTTATTGCAGCATTGAGACTATCTCCTGGGGTGATTCAAATATGCAGCAAAGTTTAAAAGCCACTGACCTACACCAGCGCTCATCATGCTAATCAGTATCCCATGGAAAGGATGGACAGCAATGTGTTTAACCAAACCCCTTTTTGGATACATAGGTTTCAAAGTGTTTGATATTATAAACAATGTTGTCATTAACATGTTTGGCCAGAAAACATCCTCCTTATTTCTGATTATTTTTTTGGCTAAATTCATTGAAGTGGAATCACTGTACCAAAGGATATGAATATCTATAAGACTTTTGGGTGCAATTTTCTGAAGTTCCCTCTAAACTGGCAGAGACCCCACCAGTAGAAAGTGAGAGTTTTTGTTCTCCCACACTTAGAAACACTGTAGACCATCGTTAACAAAATAAAAAATATTTAAATGTAGCCAGTTTTACAATTGAAACATAGTATTACATTGCTATTTTATTTTTTAGTATTTTATTGTGATAAAATATATCCAACATGAAATTTATCATTTTTAAGTTTACAATCCAGTGGCATGAAGTATATTCACAACCATCAACCAACTTCCAACGCCAGAAATTTTTCATCTTCATGGTAGCTATTTAATTTTTAATATATTTTATCTGTAAGGTGAAATAATGTTTGTGCTATTGTCCATTTGTATCTCACTTTTGTGTATGAATTGCTTACTCATGAGGAATATCCGTGAGGAATGTTTTTGGCTCAAAGTATCTGAAGCCCTCATTAGCAGTGGCTTAAACTAATAAGGGTTTATTTTTCCTTCACACAAACAGGAGACCGGAAGTAACCAGCTGCTGGTGGTGTTGGTTCAGCCGCTCAGTGATATCATTTGCAAGATGACTGCCCAGCTTCAGCCATCCCATCCTTGTCCAAGGCAGGAGGAGCAAGGTAAGGAATATGTATGGCATTTGAACTCTTAATCAAGGAAGATAAATTTTTCTAGAACTACCCCTCTCCTCCAGTAGATACATGCTTGCAAGATTTGTCATATGACTACTCCTGGATCCAATGGAGCAGGCAAGAGAGAAGAGGAACAGGATGCTTGCTAACTTAGCCAGTCAACAGTGCATGGTCTTTATGTCTCTATTAGAATCTCCCTCTTCTTACCGCGATGTGAAAGGTCTATGTGCATTAACAGTATTAGCCCTTTTTTGTGTGTCACATTTGTCAAATGTATTTCTCCAGCTTCTTCTTTGAAGCTTACCCTTTTTTCAACATATGGAAGATTGCTCTTTAAAATTTTAGATCCACATATCATTGATTTGATGGTTTCTTCTCTTGTGCTTACAAGTCTAGTCCATCCTGAGAAAAGGTGAATATTCTTTTTTACATTGTTTTTGATCTTTCATGGTTTCACTTTAATTACAAAAAAAAAAAATATCCAAAATGGTACGCAATTTGACTTCTCAACTGTGACCGGGGAAGGAGTGATTCTGGGAAGTGGGTGCAAAGAACAAACTTAATCTACCACCACTGAATTGGAGGAAAAACAACCCAGAGGCATCCACTATGCCACAGAGTTTCTGATATTAGAATGTTTAGTGGTGGCATCTGCACAAGGTAGACTCCACGGAGTTGTTTAATAGGCAAGAAATATTTGTGGCCAACACATCTCAAATGCCGACTGTGGAGAAATGAAACAAAGATACTTATTTCAACGCCAGCAAGAAAAGTTATGACTATAGAAATGGATAAACAACAGAAGTTGATTTTGCAACTAGTTGTGCATGAAAAATCTTGTAAGCTTGATGCAGTGTCTGAAGCGCAGAGAGAGGTAGCTGGAACTGCCCTTAGCACAGTGGAAAGGGTAGCTCTTAGGAAGGGTGAAGACAGCAACCTGTTTAGGGGAGTGCTTTCCCATATGCGGCATGTGCCCTACAGTGAGATTAGTGTAGGGCTGCACATTCTTTATGTCCCAAATGAAATCACTATAAGGTGATAGCCAAGTGACAGCCCAATCCTGTGTAATAATAAGACAATATACAAATATACAAGACGTTTTAGGCTTAGAAAAAGATGTCCCCATATGTTTGCATCTAATCCCATCTGTCTGATAAAGATGACAAACTGAAATTGACAATGAACTTTCCAAAATTATTTTTTCTTTGCTCCAAATGGAAACTATAGAATGGCTTAAAGAATAATCTGTGAATCCATGCCCCCTTGCATGAAAAACAGTGACATCAGGGTGTTTTCCAGTTACTGTGAAACTGCAAAATGAAATTTAGAGACAAAAGTTTATTGTATGAAGGAGCAACAGGGAGCAATATTTCCCTATGTTGTCTTGTCTTTTCTGTGTTGGCTAGATTGTTGGGTGCTCCGCTCACTGCTGCTTTGCTCGAAATGAATAGGTCTGATGAATGTTAGCCTTGGAAGTGTTGGAGTTGGATTACTTGTTTACTGACCTTTGGTTATCACTTTTGCACATGATGTCTGTTTTTTAAGACTCAGTTCACGTCAGAGGTGCTTATTCCTGAAGGGAAGGTTAAAAAAACTGCACAAAAACATCCATTTAACTAATTATTCTGCCTCAGCTGGACTTTTGTGATGCTTGCGATTTTCTCCAGTTGCATTGTGCTTCTTCTCCTGTTTTAACCACATGCTTTCCTAGCTGATGGACTGGCTACTTCAACTTTAGTTCAAAAAATAGCATGGATTGACAGCTCTGTTTCCAACTCTCAACTTGGACTAATAAGTACTCATGTTTGCACTTAGCTTTTCTTAGTACAACAGTCCTTGGAAGAGTTGGGTTAATTTGACATCATTCTATGTACCCATCTTAACTGCATTTGGTTCTCCCACAGGATCCTATTAGTGACTAATGTCACAGGCTTTGCATAATCTGTTTCTTTCTGCTTTTGTCCTAATAGTTCTTTTGATCTCAGCTAGATCCAAACAACAACTGGCTTAAGGTGCCTTATTCCTTTTTCTTTAACAGGTTATTTTCCATATTTTCAGCATGAAAGAGAGGGCTAAGAAACTTTAATAATGAACACAAATAGAGAAAATTGCGGTTTATGATTCACAAGGGTATTAGCAACAGGTGTCTTTTTCTCTGGTAGCTACCAAACTTTTCAGCAACTTCAGGTGCTGCCGTGTTCATTTGTGGGTGTCTCGGCTGTCTTACTGATCCCTGCAGAGCACATGGTACGGATCTTAGCTTCACAACACACTGTCAGTTGTGGGGCTTTGCACTTGCTAGCTCTAATCGCACTTTCTCCACCGCAGCGCCTCGGCCCTGTCCGCCCCTATTTCCCATGCTCAGTGAGTCGGCGAAGCACCCATTCATCAGCCCTCCACCTCCATCTGCCTTTCACTGATTGGGCACTTTGGAGTAGATGGAGCTTCTGTTTCCTGATGCTCAACACTGCTTCTAGGTTCCATTTGTGTCTTTGGCTTCTAAAATGCAGTGTTTAGCCTGGAATGAGCCTCCACTTCTACCAAGGGGAAGCAGTGCCTTCCTTTTCTGGAGAGTTGCTCACTGTGTGTTGTACTAACATTAAAACTTCCACTGAGGGGCTAGCAGTAGCCTGACAGATCTCCTGTGAGCTGGTAAGGGAGTCAGAGAGTTGATTAGAAGAGAGTTTGGGGCTCTTTAACATCCGCATCTGTATTCATAACTTCCTTTGAGAACATGAAATCGAACTGTTGCTGTGGTTTTAATTCATTTTGTGTCAGCCTTGGGAAAGACAACAGTATGCTTCATGGTGACGGGCGCTTCCAGAGGATGGGCACTTCCAGCCTTCTTGGGTAGCTGTTCTTCTCAATGGCGCCGTTGTCTTCATGCTCAGGTGGCAGCAGTCCTGCACTCCAGGGAAAGGGAAGGTAAGAGGGAGGGAGGTGGAAGCTTGAGATACAGATCCACGCTCTGGCCCAAGACTTCCTAGGGTTGTTCCTAAAAGCTCTCGTGAAAGGAGACAGTGGATAAATGCTGAAGAATACCATGTGATTACAATTCAGTGGAAAAAAAAAAAAAACATGCAAAACACAGGGAAAAAATAAACCGAAATGTTAACAGTTGCTATCTCGTGGGTGGGAATAGAGTTGACTGGCTTTAGTCTCATCTTTTCTGCATTTTTCCATATTTTCTATGCTGATTATGCGTTATTTTATAATAAAGCAATAAATTTATAAATTAAAAATGTGAAGACAAAACTTCCATCTGCCAAGAGAACTCTGCTTGTATGCCATAGTATAAATGCATCATACCATGAAATGTCATTACTACATATTTTTTTCCGGTTGCCAGGAGTAAATAACAACATCAAATCTTGGCTTTATTCAGCATCTTTGGAAGAGCTCACATTTAAAACAAAGAAGCAAAAAGCACATCATTGACTAAAACTCTAAAACCAACTGTGTTTCTTAAGCAATTTTTAAAATCCAGTAGCAGATACACTGAATGTTAAGCATCCTTCAGATGCACTGCTTGAGGCAAAAACTTTTATCTCCGTATATAATTGATGAATCGAGATATAATCCCCACATATTATACCTCACCCATCTAAAGGGTACGATTCCGACTTTTCCATGAATTCACAGAGTTGCAGAACCATTTCCACGATCAATTTTAGAACATTTGCATCATCCCCCAAAGAAACCCCGGATCGCTAAGCCATCCCTCCCCATTCCCTCCCCAAACCCCAGCTTCTGGTAACCTCACATCTACTTTTTGTTTCTACATATTTGCCTCTTGACACTTCTAAGTGAACTAGTGCAACATGTGCTGTTTTGTGCCTGGCGCCTTTCCCTTCACGTGATGTTTTTGAGGTTCCCCTGTGTTGGAGCATGCTCGGTCAGCACCCCTTTCTTGTTTTGTTTAGCCCCTCCCCCATAAGTTAACTATAGTCCCAGCATATGGCCCAGAAATGCTACTGCCAGGTATAAACCCAAGAGGAATGACAACAAATATCCACGCAGGAACTTGTCCGTGAGTGCTCTTGTAACAGTATTCACCGGAGACATGTCCATTCAAATACTTCGGCATTTTTGTTTGGGTATCCTTCTTATTGTTGAATTACTGAGCAATGGAAAGGGCCTGGAGCCTGACAGTCCTGGATTTGAACCCAAGCTTTGAACTATGTGAGTGAAGGTGTTTAGTTTTCTATGAGTGAAGTGAAAACCATTTTCACTGTTTCCTGTAGAGCTCTGTAAAGAATAGTGTGTACTCTGTAAGGGATGGGGTGTTGTCTGTGAGGGAACAGGGTATTCTCTACGCAGGGGTGGAGTAGTCTCTGTGAGGGAATGGGGTATTCCCTGTGACTGCATTTTTCACACAGCTGAAGTTTATCTCTCCCTTTGCTTGCCAAAAGTTGGAAAATTTTTAAGGTGCCTTATGTACTTTCTGTGCTTTGTTCAGTACAGAGCACTAGGCCTGATTGAACCCTTTCTTTATGACTTCTTGGAATGTGCTGGATTGTATTGTATTGGTAGCCCCGTCAGGGCACTGAGGGGCCATTCATGTGTGGAGGGTTGTTTGCTCAGGCTCTTGTGGCCCTTCTGGTGACTTCTTTCCTCTTTGGGGGGGGGGGTTTCATTTTTCAGTGAACCTATTCCTCACAGTGTTCTTCTTCCACCCACTCATTGTTTCTCATTTGACTGTAATTTTAGAAAGCATGGAAGGTTACCAGGGGAAACCAGATAAGGAAACTGGTTAAATATCACACATAATTCAAAAATACTGGTTTCTAGTTCATGCCCTTTGTTAGAGCTGCTCCATTAAAGGCTCAGTACATTTTCATTGACTTTAAGCTATAATTGTTAAGGGTGCTGGAAGTTATATTACTAGGCAAGTGGAATGTTCTACTCATTCCACACTGAATAAGGGCTTTTGCTTTGTTGTCAGTATCCTTTCAGGTAAATAGGTGAAATTTCAAAATTAAAACCAAGTTTTAAGTAACTTTTAGTGAAAAACATCAACCTAAGAGATCTCCAAACCTTACATCATATGGGATAGTTTTTCTAATGTACTCATGTAGTGAACCTTTAATTATCCAGTAGTTAAACATCTGTATTTGGGTTTGCTATAGAAGATAGCACCTTCAAAGTACCCCATTTAGGCTCTTAGACCAACTGATAACACTGTTGTAAATTAACACTTATTCCAGACAACTTTATATATTAATTCTTTACATGTAACCTGCATTCTAAAGGAAGAACTGAAAAAGATCAGCCTAGTTCCACGGCAGGGTGGGGGCCCTGTCTGCCATGGAAGGGTTAATTGTATTGGCCGGGTCCGCTAAGTGTGCGGGGGAGCTGTGGGGATGGATGGCCTGCAGGTGCCTGGCTGTGTCAGATATTACTGTACTGTTTATCTGTTCAAAATATTTTGTGAGGATTATAGGATTATGTTTTTGGTCATGAGGAGCCAGCTTGAAATTTTCTGACAGGTTTAGTAGATGTGTGGCTTAATAAACAAGCCAATGGAATGCAAGGGAACTCACCTGGGATCATGCCAAAGCTGCAGAACCAGGTGTCACATCCCTTAAGGGAGATGTGACCTGTAGGGTTAATTGCTGGCACCAGTTTGCCTGGAGTGAGCTCAGCTGCAGTCAGGAGGTGGCTGAAAGCAGGACCTGCTGGGGTGGGCTGGTTGGAGGGAGCAGAGTCTGTTGGGAGTATGTTCTCAAAGGGAAGGGCAGCTGGGAACCTGTTTTACCAGAAAGCCATGCTCCACCATCGCTGCCACATCTTGTTCAGGCTCCTGGCTCTGTCTGTCCTGCTTGATCCCCATGGACTTCATTCTTCATGCTCTACCACACCAGGAAGCATTAAGATGGCAGGCTAGGGCTTGGTCCTGGCCTTTTGTTTCTTTGCTCTTCTTTTTTCTTTGGGCAGCACGTGTCATCCCAATGGTGGATATTTCATTAGTACTTGCTAGTGGGGTTCCCACATTTCCACTGCATTTCCCAGGGTCTCTGATTCTGATGCAAAATCATGTGCTTTATCGACCAGCGCTACTGCTGCTCTTGCAGCTGAAGTGGCCTGCATCATATAGTCTCTTGGCCGCTGCACCTGTGTGCTTGTGCTGCCTGTGGGGTTCAAGTTTCCCTGTGTTCTCATCTTTTGTCTGTTATCAATCATCAATGCTGCTGTCAACCCAAAGGTGGGCTGTAGGTCTGCTAAACCTCCTGAGAAACTCCACAGGAACTTAGCTTCACTGTGAGCACTGCTTTCTGGCCTGAGTGCCAGCCTGTCACCTGTGCAGCCCTGCTCGGGGGCCACTGGCCAGCCTGTCTCGCTCTCACTCCGGACCCCCCAGTTTGGCCAACTGCTGACTTCAGCAGTCTGTTTCCCACCACAATTCGGCTCTGTTTGTTGGACTCCACTTTTCATCTTCGCTGTGGCTTTCACCAGGAAGGGCTAGCAGCTTCTGGGCTGGATGCCACGGGAAAGACTCTTCCCTCAGGAGCAGCAGTTTTGCTGCTTCTCATGTTCAAACGGTCCTGCTCTAAATCTTCCTTCTCTTCGCTGCCATGGCACACAGATTTCATGAAGGCCTCCTTTTCTGTCTACAACCTATAACCAAAATTATGCAGAATACACATACCACAAGAGGTAAGATTTCTAAAGGATAGCCAGATAATTATGACGGCTGCATGGGGCTGCGGGGGAGGCTAATGGAGAGCAAAGAGGAATTTCCAAGGGTTTCTGGTAATCCTGACCTAGGAGAAGTTATGCTGAAATGTACACATGGAAAATATCACCCAGAAACTAAAATGCAGTTGTAAGATCTAGTGAATCTAATGCAGTGGTTCTCACAAAAGATGATGTGTTCAATAAAATGTTTCCCCATACCGTGAACTTTTTGTAATGTGTATACTGGAAATTTTACTTTTTTCTTCTCCAATGTGAGTTATTAGTCTACAAATCAGTGTCAATATTCACTGAGCATAAAGTGGTAGCTGAAGGTGGGGAAGTGTTAAACACAGAGGAACCTCACGTTACCAAAAATGTGTGTTCCTGAAAAGCTTTGTGTAGATACAGTTTTGGAAAATCCGGTCACATCTTAAGGTCACCGAGGGAGCAGGCTACTTAAAGGGACCCTGCATTCACTGAACTTTGTTTTGTAATGTGAATGATCTCCTCCTAAAATATCTACTTTTGAATTGCTGCAGGGGGTCCCCTACATTTTTTTTAAATTTTGTTTAAGATTTATTTATTATTTATTTATACAAGCACTGGGTACAGTCAGAAGCGAGGGAGGGTGAGAGAATTCACCAGAGCCAGAGCGGGGAGCAGAGCAGGCAGAAGGACCGAAGTACACTGCTGAGGGGAGCAGCGGGTGGCAGGAAAGGTCTGCGCGCCATGTGGGACCCTCGTCTGGCGGCCGGGGATCGAACCGGCGCTGCAGAGGCTGCGGGCGGGCAGCTTCGCAGCCCAGCGCTTAACCGCTGCACCACCGGGGAGGCCCTCCCCTACATTTTTCCTCTACCTCGAATTTATAGAAGGTTGAAACAACAGAATTACAGTTTTAATTATTTGTTGATTGATCCAGAAGCAGACATGCTCATGAATGCTTGAACAAACCCATGTGGGGCCTGGAACAGCCATTCAGTTGAACCCATCAAAGCAGAGCCTGATGTGCCACTTTCTAGTTACTCAACTTTCTAAAGAGCCTCAGGTTACTTTTCACTGCTCCCCAAATTCTTTTCCTTTAGGATCTGACCTTGACTTCTTGCTGCAAATTCTTTGCTGAAAGCTTTTCAATGAGTAAAAAGGTTCTGGACAGCATTGCAGCAGGGCTGTTGAAACACACACATAGGCACATGTACACATACTCACACATGTACACACACACAACACCCCCCACATCCTTGGCCAAAATTTCATCACTTCTTTGGCTAGAGGAGTGTGGTAGCAGGGCCTCTTAGAAATGGGGGCAAGGATAACTTAATTTTTCATTCATTCATTTTTACAAACATTTGTCAGACATGTGTTAAGAGTCAGGCTCTGCAGTTATTGAACGTTTCCCACCTCCGTAGGGAGAACAACAGAATACAGGCAACTGAACTCTAAGTTGAAGGGAGATTAAAAAGCACGGACCCGAAGCATTACCCACCTCCCCACAATGCTGGGTCAGTGGCCAGTGCTGAATGATCACCAGCACAGCTCACAGACCGTTAAGCTTGAAAAGAACTTTCAAAATCTTCAGCAAAATCTTCCATTGTACAGAGCAGCAAACTGAAGCACAGAAAAGAGAAATGCTTGGGTTGATGTCACAAGGTGAGAAAGTGATAGAGCCGGAGCAAAAACTCCTAGCAGTCCCACTTCGTAGGGGATTCAGAGCATGCTTTAACCTTTACCCAGTACTTCCAACCAGGCTTGGTTTTTAGTAAGCACAATATGAGTACAGCTAAATCAGAATGATGAGGATGAGGACAATAGCGGCAACGATACATGGTCCTGCACCTCAAGCAGATCTGATCTTTACCTGCATGATTTTTTTTGCATGACTTCAGAGATTTGGGAAGCCTTCCGGAAATCAGCGAAGGCGCTCGCTGCATCTTGGTGAAATAGAACCTGTGTGATGGGAGAGAGGTAAGAGAAGTGATGTTGGGAGTGGAATCTGGAAGCTCTTCTAGGGCCGCTCAGTGTCATGGACGCTTCACAGTTCTTCATGTATTTGACCCCCGGACAACATCTGACTGTTCTCATTATCCCATCCTACCTAAACAATGGTTTCTGTAACTCCACATTCTTTATCTTTTTCCCTCCTGTCTCTAGCTGCTCTCTCCCGCTTTGTCTCTCCTCCTCACCCTCACTTTCCTCACCTCGCTTCCTCTCTTGGAAAATTTCAAATGTACACGAAACAGAAGAGTGTAGCTCCTCACTAGGAGGTTACGCCACCAGATCAGTGTACACTGACGCATATTTGCTTTGTGTTGGTTTAGATTTGTATGTTTTTTAATTTAATTTTGTCTTATAATTATGTAAAAAGTTTCTATAGTTCCAAAATCAAATCTATAAATCAAGGCATATTCCAAGAAGTGTAGCTTCTGGCCTTGCCCAACTACTTTGTTCCCTCTTCCTCTCTGTAGGTAATCTTTAACTCTTAGTTAATGGTTCATCCTTGCATTTAAAAGACACATTGTGTATTATTCAGGTTTTACCCTCATCTTTGCACCCCAGTGTTCATGTTTCCCTGCCTTCCTCCACACACACAAGTCTATTGAAATTGAGTCATATTGAATTATTAGAAGCTGCTCTCCATGCGTGCATATGTATATGTCCCTCTCCTACTGGATTTCTAGCCTGTAGTCCCATCTTTACACCTACGTTCATATCCGCCTCCCTGCCCCCCATCCTGCACTTCGACCTACTGAGTTATCTGAAGGACTTGGGTAAGCTGTGCTGCCTATGGTCTCTGCAGGTTCATGCTGTTCTTTCACAGAATCTCCACTGAGAAGAGTTCCTGCGAGGAGAGGAAAAGCTGTAAGGAACCAGAGACTGCCAGCCACTTAGGGGCAAGCATAATCTAGACCCTCTGAGGTATTCTGACCCTCAGAGTAAGTGGGGGGATGAGGATAACACAAACTCTAGAACAGGGTACCCCAGGCAGACAGAGAACTTGGGGGTTGTGGGCAGACTTGAAGGTCTTCCGAGTTTATAAAAGGGTCTTTATATGTGTAGAGTTCAGCATTTTTCCATAAGCATATATCACCTCAGCCAAATGGGAAGTCTTCCCCAGCCTAATGTGATTTTGCCCTGTTCTCTGTGAATGAGGGACTAGGGACACATTGAATGAAAAACAGATCTCTAGTCGAGGATCTAGGAGCAATGAAGGAAGCACACTTAAAATTTATATTTTAAGTATTAAAACATAAATCATTAAATTGTGGTCAATGAAAGAAATTAATACCACTTAACATATAGGGGATGCATTCTGCTTGTTTCAAAGTTAAATAGATGAACATGTTATAAGAAAGTGATTTTTTCTGACATTTTGAGAGCAGGGTTTGTTTTGTTCACTGAGATAGTCTATGCATCACAAAAACTCTGGGTGGAGTAGGTACTCAGCAAATGTTTATTAAAGGAAGGAGAAGACAAGTTGTATGCTTTTATGTGTGAAAGGCTCCTTGCAATTCCTGATAAAGGCCTTCAGAAAGATCATCTCTTCAAATTCTTGATGGTCACCATTGGTGAAATATATAAATAAAAAATCATCATTTATATTTCAGATAAAGCCAAACTTAAAAACTAACCCTTGAAAACTGACTATGAACTGAGGCTGTGGGGTGGCAGGGGCGTGTAGGAGTGGTGATGAGGTGAGAAAAAGTCAAGAGAGGCACAATTTACTATGGTGGTGGACTGGGGTCCTTTGGCGGTGGGTGCACAATGGTAATATCTAAAAAATTCAACAGCTCTTTTATTTCATTGACAAATGTAATATTAAATTTTTGGCAATATATAAGTGCATTTTTGTATCCAATCAAATTTTTTCCTATCAAGTTTTATTCAAAATGATATATAAGAGCTGTGCATGCCCAGTGCAATCAGCATGCAGCTAGCTTGGACCCACTAAAAGATCATGGAGGTCAGAAATTGGGGCCAATATGTGGAGATGTGCCCAGAAACCTCTGCCGCTCTGCTCCTAGCCCCTGCTCCCCAGAGGACAGGAATGCAAGTAAGAATGCACGTCATTTTATAGTCGCCCACTCCTGCGCGACAGTTGGAACACTAGGCTGTAAGAGATGCTGCTTGGGCTACAATGAGGATTATACCCAGCTGTGGCCCTTGCTACAGGGCTGAGTTCCCTACATCATGATCCCATCCCTGCCAAAGATTGTCTGCTACCATTTACTAACATGCCAACGTTCCGGGGTACTACTGGCCAACAGAAATATAATACGAGCCACATACATAGTGCTAGTCACTGCAACAAAGTACCAAGAAACGAGTGAAATTAATGTTAATGTTATGTTTTAGGTAAAGCAATATGCTTGAAATGTATTAGCATGTAGTCAATATAAAATTATTGATGAGCTCTTTGACATTCCTTTTTCACCTTAAGTACTTTAAATCTGGTGTATTTTTTCCCTTTAAATACTTGCAATATTTTATACATTTCAATTCAGATGCTAAAATTTTAGTGATTAAAGTGAAATGTAGTACAATCAAAATCATGAAAATTTAAGTCTTTGGATTTAAATTTATTAAAATCAAATACAGTGAAATTAAAAAAAAATTCCGTTTCTAAGTTTCACTAGCCACAGCACAAGAGCTCAGTAGCTGCATGTGGCTATTCTGTGGACAGGACGGATCTAGAACATTTCTGTCATGTTGTACAGTGAGATCCCCAGCAGTATGGAACCTCTAGCTGAAAATTAGGTATAGATGCCACTTGGGAATGTGCTAAATTATGAAGTGTTTTTCAGTTATTAACATAATTGCCTTAACCAGTGAGTTGACAAATATTCTCCTTAAAATAAATTTTTCAGACTGAAGTTTTCAGGCTTTAAATGCTGACTTTCATCTTTTACAATTCACTTTTGGAAAATCTCCAAAACTGTAAGTTATCTAAAAGATTCAAACTGTAGTAGTTGAGTTGTACCACAAGAGGACCTGCAAAGACAAGTTGAGCTCCAATTTCAGCCGTGCTTACGTTACCAGCTGAAGTGTAGTTAGGAAAACATCTGACCATCAACATTAATATTATCATACTTGCCTTCATAAATCCCCAAAAAAGTAATACATTTTGATATAATTTTAAAATAGTATGAGGGCCATGAATGGTATGTGAGTCCAGCAAAAGTCATATTTGGGTAAGAATCAGGAGGCAGCACATTGTTAAAAATATGAGTGTGAAGGCTTGCCGGCTGGTGTCACGTTCTGGCTTGGCCTCACACCAGCTTCATGACCTCAGGCAAGCCACTTCATCCTACAATAGAACTAATCCTAGTACCTGCATCCTATAATTTGTTGAGGATTTAATAAGATCACATATAAAGTGCTTATAGTATGTAGAGTAAGTACTCAAAAATGCTAGTTATTTTCATGATTATTAGTTTTTACTGACTCTTAATCCTCTCAGTGTTTAGAACCTGTCTTTAGTAGAGAAGGGACATTGCTGTATGCTACCATACTTTGCAATGCGAGTTCTGCATAAATAGTGACAGAAGGGTCCACATACAGGAGTGTATCAAGGCAGGAAGTTACAGCTCACACTTGCTCTTAGATTTGGATTGGAATAAAGTTCCTTGACTCCTTCCGGATACCTGTTTTTGTCCTATGACCAAATTTCCTGGCTACTAACTATAGAGTTTGTATTCTCGTTTCTGTAAGAGTTGTATGTACCTTTTTGAAGTCTGATGCTTGGCACCATTTTTTTCTGCTGTGAACTGGACCTGACCCCTTGGCTTTTTCTCAGCCTGTTTCAGATAAACAACTTTCACAATCTGACTTGGCATCTTCCTAGAGCATCTTACCTCTTTCAGCGATGTTCCTGCCCTCTTCATCTACGAGTAAGAATTTGCTGTGAGAGAGCAAAAGAGCTCTGAGGACAGGATGCTCCTTAAGTTTACTTTAACTTCTTTGGAAGGACATTTATTTAATTTAATAATATGTGCCTTCCAAACCGATCATGTGTAGATTTTAATCTTGGAGTCTAGCCTTGGCCCTCCACGAGACGGCTTTGTGACAATGGGGAGGTTATTTAAACTCACAGGGATAATAATAGGTGTCTCCCCTATAACTACAATTATAAATATGAGATATTGCTATAGAGGAAATAATAATGAGCATGTGCTTTTTAAAAAGTTTTGTGGTGACTGCTTTGACATTATAAAGATGTGTATGTTCATAATGAATGAAACATTGACCCATTTATCCATTTTCAGTGGTAAATAGCAGCCAGTAGAAACCATTGTCCAGAGTCTAGTTCTTAGACAATAGGACTTTTCCTTACATTGGGAAGATTTGCAGTAAAATTATAGTAATTAATATAGTGAATTATTATTGTAAATACAGACAAGTAGGCTAATAGAATTTTAAAGAGCCCAGAGCAGACCTATGCACATGGGGAAGCTTGATATGTGATTGAATTGGCATTGCATATTGGTGAAGGAAAAAATGCAGTATTCTACATGTCTTGCTAACATAATTTGTTATCCATATGGAAAAAAAAAGATTTAGACCGCTACCTTATACCATACAAATATCACTACAAGATTCTTCAAGAGCTTAAATGTGCAAGGCCTAACTTAAAAATTTTTAGATATAGTGTAGAAAAATTATATTTATAAATTTGGAATAAGGACAGGTTTATAAAAGACAAAAATTGTAGGGTAAGACATTAAAGTAATTTGAATAGGTCAACTAGTCAACAAGTTGTTTTCAAAAATAGAACTTATCCCTCACTAATCTGCAAACCTAAACATATTACAGTCCTATAAAATATCATAATTCCAGTGATGTAAAGAGAAAGGTATTAAATGATGACTGGATAAGACTGTCAGAAGGATTCAGTGGATGGCTTCTGGTTTAGTGACATCAGTTTTGCTGACATGTTAGATCTCAACACTTTCTGAACTTGAAAATTATCTTTTTAAAACATTGCCCTATTTTTTAAATTTTATATATTTTTTACATCATTTTTCATTTTTGCACAATGTATGCATTTTCATCTTGGTTATAGTTCCCATACAGTTCCCACCACTCTTGTTTTGATCCTGCTCCCTTCTCCCTGCCCCCATAGTGTGTCTATGGTTTATAGTTACTTGTTGATTTTGATTTTTACTTGATTATAATTATTCTTTTTCCTGGTCCCTTATTTAGGTTTTCTAAATTCCTGCTATGAGTGAGACCATCTGGTATTTTTCTTTATATTTCTGGCTTATTTCACTGAGCATGATCCCTTCCAGCGCCATCCATGTTGCTGCAAATTGCATGAGTTTATCTTTTTTGATTGCTGAGTAATATTCCATTGTGTATATGGACCACATCTTCTTGATCCAGTCCTCTATTTTTGGGCATTTGGGTTGTTTCCATAGCTTAGCTATTGTAAATAGTGCTGCTATAAACATAGGGGTGCAGGTGCCCTTTGGAATTGATGTTTCTGTGTCCTTTGGGTAAATACCTAGGAGTGGAATTGCTGGACCATATGGAAGCTCTATGTTTAGTAGGTCCAGAAATCTCCACACAGCTCTCCATAGTGGTTGGATCAGTTTGCACTCCTACCAGCAGTGCAGGAGAGTTCCTTTTTCTCCACATCCTCGCCAACATTTGTTGTTGCTAGTTTTTTTAATATGTGCCATTCTCTCTGGTGTAAGATGGTATCTCATTGTAGTTTTGATTTGCATTTCCCTGATTACAAGTGATGTTGAACATTTCTTTATATGCCTGTTGGCCATTTGCATTTCCTCTTTGGAGAAATTTCTTTTTAGCTCTTCTGTCTAGTTTTTGACTGGGTTGTTTACTTTGTTTTTGTTGAGTTTTGTTAGCTCTTTGTAGATTTTTGTGATCAGTCCTTTATCATTAGTGTTGTGTGCAAAAATTTTCTCCCAGTCTGTGGGGTGTCTCTTTGTTTTGGTTATTGTCTCTTTTGCTGCACAGAAGCTCTTTAATTTGATGTAGTCCCAGCTGTTTATCTTTGCCTTCACTATCACTGCTTTGGGTGATATGTCTTTAAAGATGTTACTGAGGTGTATGTCATGTAATATTTCGCCTGTATTTCCTTCTATATATTTTATGGTTTCGGGTCTTATGTCTAGTTCTTTAATCCATTTTGAGTTGGTTTTTGTGCATGGTGTGAGGTAGTAGTCAAGCTTCATTCTTTTGCATGTAGTGACCCAGTTTTCCCAGCACCATTTTTTGAACAAACTCTCTTTGCTCCATT